CACCTGTTTTCCTTTCTAGCTTCCAAAGTCATCTCTATTTTTTGTTTTTGTTTTTGGAGGCAGGGTTTCGTTCTGTCGCCCTGGCTAGAATGCAGTGGTGTCATCACAGCTCACTGCAACCTCTAGCTCCTGGGCTTGAGCGATCCTCCTGCCTCAGCCTCCCGGGTAGCTGGGACTAGAGGAATGCACCACCACACCCTGCTAATTTTTCTATTTTTAGTATAGACTGGGTCTTGCTCTTGCTTAGGCTGGTCTTGAACTCCTGACCTCAAGCGATCCTCCCACCTCGGCCTCCCAGAGTGCTAGGACTACAGGCCTGAGCCACCATGCCCGGCCACCTCCCTCCGTTTTTATCCCTACAGTCTGTGTCCTTTTTGAGTGTCATCTTGTTGGGTTTCAGGAGGGAGCTGAGATGAATCTCGGGGTTCTGAACACCAGTTTCCAAAGAGAGAAATTCTCCCTTTTCCTGGCCCTGGGTTCTCAGCTGAGCTACGGCACGTCACTGGGACGCCCCAGAGGGTCCACTGCAGTGGAGGGACCTAGATAGGAATCGTCGTTTTCATTTTTTTTTTTTTTCCAAAACGGCTCTCATGAATTGGATCCTCTACAAACCATTTCCCTCCAATAGAGACTCAACTTCGGGTATTTGACCCAAAGTGAGCCAAGCGCTATGAGCCTCATGTCTTATAGCCGGGAACTGCCTCATGGTGGGGACACCCACATGTTCAGCTGCCCAGCCCAGGGGCCCTCAGATGGGCTCCTTCTGTGATTCGCAGCCATTGCCTGGGGCTGTTTGTTTGTTGGTTTTAAAAGAATTTATTTTTTAGAGCAGTTTTAGGTTCACAGCAAAATGGAGAGATTTCCCATATGCGCCTGTTCCCCCAACACAGTCTCCCCACTATGGGATTCCCCGCAGCGTGGTGCCGGGGTTGCAGTCGGTGAGCCTGCGTGGGTCCGCTGTCCTCCACAGCCCACGGCTGACGTTTGCTGTCGGTGGTGTACATCCTATGGGTTTGGATAGATTTATAATGACATGTGTCCGCTGTCGTAGTATCAGAGTAGTTGCACTGCCTTAAAAAATCCTCTGTGCTCTGCCTGTTCATCCTTTGCCCCCCAGTGCCGACAGCCACCGATCTTTGGAATGTCTCCATAGTTTCGCCTTCTCCAGAGTGCTCTATAGTTGGAATCACACAGTATGTAGCTTTCTCAGGTTGGCTTCTTTCATTTTAATAATAAGAATTTAAAGTTCCTCCATATCTTTTCACGACTTGCTAGCTTATTTATTTTTGGCACTGCGTAATACTCCCTTGCTCGGCTGTGCCAGGGTTTGCTTGCCCACTCACCTGCGCCTGGGCTGTCCTCGCAGCTGCCATCCGTGTCGTCTTGGCCGGTTCCGCACCCGTCCTCAGAGAAGCTTTCCCACCTCTGGGCCTCGTCTCTCGCTGTCACCTCTCTCGCTCTGTCGCTGTTCCTGGCTGTTTCTTCCGTGTGTGTGGGCCTTTGCCCCACGGAGGACACGCCACGAGGGGGCTGCCTCTGCTTTGTCCCCACTCTGCCTGGCCTGGCACTGGCTGGGCCCGGGACCGGGTGTACCTCAGGGAGCCAGTGTCAGTTCTTCGGGTTTCACTGGGCTGGGACTGCCGCAGTCAGGCCGGGGCGCTCGCGTCCTTGACACGTGTGACTGGAACCGTCGCCGCAGCCCTGCCTCCTCATGTTTTCACTGTGCGAGTGCGCAGCCCTCTGCTGCTGAAAGGGACGGGACTGGGTGGCCACGTCGCTGCTTCCGGCTCTCGCCAGCAGCGTGATGTGTGTCACACAGAACGGGAGAGAGGCCATGCCCCTAAAAAGCCAGGGGACCTTTGTTCCAAAAGACTGGGGGGATAGTTTTTCATGGGAACTTTTAAGGGACTGTGTCGACAGCTTGTCATCAGTGCCATCACCCTTTTCCCCACGTCTGTCATCACACACGATGAGAGTCAAGGATGACAAGGACAGCAGGGCCGTGTATGGGCTGTCCCCGTGGCCAGGCCCTGGCTGGTGGCTTCCGTGCAGCGCCTCCCCCTGGCATGGGTTCTGCGGGGCCAGGCTGCCTTCCTCAGACTTAGCTGGGGTCCCCTTCGTGTTTGTCAGGGCAGGAAGCACTGTCATTGTCAGATACTGATTGATTAGTTATATTAACATACAGTTCTCTGATACGGTTATCTGATAAATAATCACAAATCAGATAATTCTCATACCAGCTTTGTAGGCCAGGTGGGTCAACTTCTCGTACAAACAAAATGTGACACTATTGTGGCAAGGAACTGCACGTGTGCCCAGAATTCAGAAAATCTGACCTATAATGTAGCGCATTTTCTGCATTTGGAGGCTGTGTGGGAACCACTACCTGTTTGGGAGCTCAGCGTGGAGCAGCTTCTGGGAGCCACTGTTAATTACCGATCGGTCATACGGAGGACAAGCCTCTCGCGGGTAGATTAATGAGACTGCGGTGAGACTCACACGGGTGACTTCTGGAGCAGACGTATCCGGGAATGTTCTGAGTGGGGCTGACAGGCAGAAGGGGGGGCCGTTGCACAGCCTCGAAGGGGACGGCTCTCCGGGCATTCAGGCACGGCCAGGACGGTGCGATGGAGGGAATGCGAAAGGGAGAGGTTGGACAGAGGTGGCACAGGGTTGTCCATGGCCTTGCTGGCCATGATGAAAAATGTGGGTTTTACTCTGAGTGGTGGGAGGGTGTGTCAAAATATTTCATGCGAGGAAATGACATGATCTAATTCGTGGTAGAAACATTACTGTAGCCACTGGTCCTGTGTGGTGAATGGATTGTAGGCAGATTTTATCAGTTTGAAATTGTATCCGTTGATAACAAAAATCCGAAAACAAGTAATTTAAAGACATCAACAGTTTATCAATAAGTCTGGAATAGACAGCAGAAAGCAGGTGCAAAGTCTCCGCTATGTTATCAGAGTTTCAGAATCTTGCGGGTTTCCACTTGACTGTTCTTAGAATGAGACCCTTATCATCATGTTCACAAGGTGGCTGCCAGAGCTCCAGCCATGAAATTCTAGTTCCGGACAGCAAGGAGGAAGAGCTGAGGGCAAAAATGTAATTCCTAGCTGAGTCAGCCTCCGTTAAGGAACTTTCCTGGAATTTCTGTGTAATAAATTCTGCTTACAGTTCTTTGACCAGAACTGCTACCAGAGAAGCTGGGAGATGTACTGAGTTGGGTACAAGGCCAACCCAGTAAGCACAGGATTCTCTTAGTGAGAATGGAGGGGCACGGACGCCGGGGCAGGAAGCCAGCTGTCTCCAGCACAGATGGCAAGAACAGGAGCCAGGTAAGGTGCTGGGAGGCTGTTGGAGAGGTCAGGACGGGAGGGGAGTGCGGCGACGCTGGAGAGGGACAGGCAGAGGCAGGTCCCCACCTCCTGAAAATTCAGCGTGGGGGCAGGGGTTGGAGCTGGGCGAGTCGGCCCTGACTGCTGGTGCCTTTCAAGGTGGGGGACGTGGAGCGAAGGCGCGGCTGGAAGCAGAGCGAGGTTTCGTCCCGGCTGTGTTGGGGGACAGCACGTGGAGATGCCGTGGGGCACAGGGTGCCAGACCCGGAGCTCAGGGGCGCAGCTTTCCCCCGTCCCTCACGGGCCTCCTGGGCAGAAGCAGGGGCATGGGGCCCAGAACCCCCACGCTGGCGTTTCGAGTGAGCGTCTCACAGCTCTGTGACGTGAAAGGGCGTGATTACTAAGGTGCCGCTGGGGGCATCTCCACCGCGGACCCTCCAGGGCGCCCCCTGCCTGTGTCTGAATGCCACAGGAGAGTGGTGCCAGCCTCTGCATGGCCGCCTGGCGCTGCGCTGAAGCTCCGCCTCCTCCCCCCGCACTGTCTTTGTGAGGCGCGTCCGTGCCTGGGTGTGGCCGCGGCTCGTTCTTGCCGTGGAAGGTCGGGGCTGTCCATTCACAGGCTGGGGACCCGCGCTGGTCTCGGGTCGGGGCTGTTCTGCGTAAGTGGCTGCGAGCATCCTCCTTCACGGCGTCGGCGGCAACATGATGCTTTCTCTGGGGTCCGCACCTAGGATAGCGTTGCCGTGTCGTGTAGTTCCTGGGTTTTCCAGCCAACTCAGTTTTGTTGTTATTTTCATTTCTTTATTTTTTTAAGAAAACATTTTGTCATAAGATTTTTTTACACACGCAACAAAGTTGAAAAGAATTTAAAGTGAGCGCCTACATGCCCACCACTTGGATTCACCGTCATCCTTTTTCTAGGCTGACTTCGTTGCCTGTTTTATCCATTCCCTGTTCATCCCCCCGAATTGGTTTTTAATTAAGAGAAGTGTGTCGCTGAAACACTGACTGCCCTGTTCCTGGGGGCACGGGCCCCGTGTGCCCGCGTGTGCCGACGTGAGCGTGTTAGCTCTCTGCGGCCTCTGGTCCCGGCTGTTTTCCTCGCTAAGTGTTGCCAGAGTGAGGAAGACAAAGTCTCCGAGGGATGCTGACACCCGGGCTCCGTTCCCTTCGTGTCCATCTCACTACTAGCTGCACACGGCAGCCACGTGGGAAGGAAGCTGGGCAGACCGCCAGGCGCTCGTGCCTGCTGGGTGCCCCACAGCCCTCCCTTAGGTCCCCGACCCTGTGTCTGTCCTTCATTCCAAGTGGGGGGTGGAAAGCACTGATTCCTGGTGGCTCCTGGCTTTGCTCCTCTGTCCCCTCCTAAGAGCCTCTCTGCCCCAGCCAGCCCGTGTGCTCCCAGCAGATGGCTCTGTGGGGAGAGAGGTGGCAGGGCGGGACAGAGGGGGACATTGAGCAACAGGAAGCAGGCCTGTCACCCTCCACGTGTCCTGACTGCCTTTTCATTTCCTTCCAGCATTTCTTCTAGGCCGCAAAGAAGCACCAAGCAGCCTTTGATGTTGCAGTGGCGAGAGTGGCCTCTCCTCACCGGCTGAGCTGGGAAATGCGGATTCTTGGGGACCCCGCTGCTCACCAGCTCCACGCTGTGCTGCTGGCCCCGGTCCTGGGGTGCTGAGCAGCATCTGGGAACACGCCAGCCCTGGCCACCTGCTGCCCCTGAACCTTTGCTGCTGAAGCCCTGTGTGGCCACCCCTGCGATAAGGATGTGTGCCCCCATCGGGGGGCTGCTCACAGCCCTCGTGGTGGTCTTTGGGACGGCGATGGCGTTTGCACCCATACCCCGGATCACCTGGGAGCACAGAGGTGAGCACTAAAGCTTGTGTAGGTGCCAGAGGCATGAGGATGGAGCCAGGACCCACTGCTGGGATGCGGAGGCAGCTGGCTAGGACCCTGGCATTTTATCTGCTGCATTCTCTGCTCCCAGAGCCTGTGTCTGGGCAGACAGGCCTAGCTGGCTGCTCTAAAGAGAGGCTTTGATAACCAGAAGCATTCAACAAGGCTCATTCAGGCCCCTAACCTGGTTTCTGCACTGGAGTCCCTTGAAAGGAAGCTTACCTCCCCTGTACCTGCCGCCGTTCCAGGCGTGCTCTGGCCGCTGCAGAGCGTCTGTCCCCAGGTGCTGGAGAAGGACAGTGACTCATCATCTGCCCCTAGTCCCTGGAGAAGGACAGGACACGCGACCGAGCTTCGTGCTGTGACTTTACTTGCTGTCTTTAGTTTTTGCTTCAGTTAGTTCGTCTCTTGGGAGGTGTGTCTTGGGACCCCTGGTCTTTCCGACTCAGTGCATTGAGAGCTTAAATACTGGGTCCCGAGCAAGATGTTGCTTGCAAGAATGGCCGAGCGCTGCCTTGGGCAGAGTTATAGGCCGGAGACGCACCGAGAGGACCCGCAGCCCCTGAGTGCACCTCTCCCATGCTGGAAAATTAGAGAGACCGAGAGCATTAACGCCTGGCTCTTAAATAAAGCAGACTCTTGGTGATATATGGAAAGCCAAGTTCAACACACTCAAATTGATGCCAGGACAGTTGAAAAGAAGAAACAGCTCCTTCAAAAATAGTGCAGATACGTTTCTATTATTCCTGAGCCATCTGTTAGTTAACTCCTCCCATTCCTAAGTAGCTATTGAGGCAATTACCTAATAAGCAAAATAATGTTCCTTGTTTCTCTGTCTGTGTGTTTATGGTGATCACTGAAAATTGCTTGGGTTGATGGATATATTCTCCAAAATTGATTCTTTGGAAAGTTTTGAAGTAAAACATGTTTTTCCTGAGTAAGAAAATCCTAAATCATCATGCACCTAATGTGTGGGTGATTAAAGACACATAGGCCAGAGCTGGGTGGGCAGATGGTGGGCGCCCGCTCGGGAGGCGTCTGGGAGTGCTGGGTTTGGGACTCGGTGGGACCGAAGGCAGCAGGGAGGGAGGTGAGGCGCTAGCTCAGGGTGCTGGTGCCCCGGCTGTGAGCGGATCCCACGCGTGCTAGGTGGCTGTGTTGCGGGTCTGCTCCAGGGGTGCCTGGCTCTGGCGTCACCTGGAGCTGACCTCTGCTGCGCCAGTGCGTGATGCAGCGATGCGCGGCCCTCCAGATGTGACGTGCCGCGCATGCCCACTGTGACTGAGACAGGCCCCCAGGACTTGTGCCGGCTTAAGAGCACTCCCTGACCTGCGTGCTCCCTTTCCCTCGTCTGACCCTTCCCCTTGCGCCCCGCAGAGGTGCGTCTGGTGCAGTTTCAGGAGCCAGGCATCTACAACTACTCCGCCTTGCTGCTGAGCGAGGACACGGACACCCTGTACATTGGCGCCCGGGAAGCGGTCTTTGCCGTGAACGCACTCAACATCTCCGAGAAGCAGCACGAGGTACGCCCTGGGCCCCGCTCCCCTGGCACAACCCGCTTGAGCGAGAGGCCTCTCCTGGCCCATGGCAGGCCGAGGGCTTGTCACCTGGGGCCTCCTCATGGCTCCCGTGACCGTGCAGCCCAGCCCCATCTGTCTGCTGGCAGCTCACCTGGGGACCACCCTCTTTTCATCTTTTATTTTTGAACTTTTTATTACGGAGAAATCTCCAACATGCCCTTGATCAGAGACAGTGGTATCATGAGCCCAGTACCCGTCGCGGCTTCCGTAAGGCCGATGCAGGCTTTTACCCTGCCCACTGCGTCCACTGCCTGCAGGGGCGCCAAGGCAAATCCTGACCCCTGTCCATTCAGCCTCCATTTCCAGGAGCCAGCCTCGGTTTACTTCCTGAGAAAGCCACTCTGCACAGCCCATCCCAGGTGCTCCTGAGTCCTCACGGCGTGTGTCTCATGCCTGTGTCTTCTGCACGTCCTCTGCTGGGTGTCAGGCCCCGAGGCTGACCCGCTCTGGGCGTGTGAGGGGACTGGCCTTCCTCCTCCTCAGCCTCAGCGGCCCCTGCCCTTCAAAGTCTGGACCACATCCCCTTGCAGCTTGCAAAACGTGACATCCCGGTCCTGCCTTTCTGTCCTCACTCGTGCACTGGAATCATCCATAAGGGGAGATGCCAGCTGCTGGGGCCCTTAGGGATCCCGTTCCTTTGGCAAAGGCAGGACAGCTGCTGACATCTTTGCCTTCGCTGCCGGTTTTCAGAATGACGAGTTAACAAGTTAGTTGCCCCTCTACAGGGCAACAGTGAGTGCTTTGATGTTTGATTTTTAGTATCATAGCGAACTCATGGATGTAAACATATCTTATGTGCGTTGACCTGTTAGAGTTAGATCCTATTTCATCCTTGGCCGGCGGCAGCTTCTTTGGGTCCTGATGGTTTGGGCAGTTTTCTTACTCCTTGAAATCAGTCTGTTCCAAGCTCATGCTGTACGTTTTCTGCCCCAGATCTATTTTTTAATCTCTAGGGTCTAGCATGTTTCTTAATTTCTGTTTGACACATAAACGAGCTCAGAGCACTTTCCATTGCAAACAGAGTCTTTCACACTGAGGCCCTTTGAGCAGAAGGATGCCATGGTCTCGCCTCGCTCAGCCCTGTCCTCTCCCGGTGTCTGTTAAGTCCCCTTCGTCTGCGCTGCTTCCTGACCACATGAGCTAGCGCGCTCTGGGAGAAACGTGAACAGCCTGTGTCTGCACCGGCCTTGCGGGTGCTCAGGGAGAGCAGCCGTTGCTCAATTAATGGCATCGCAGTGGTCCCTTGGGGTCGGGGAGAGGCTTCGGGGCTCTTATACTAAGAAGAAAAGCAAACAATAAAGGGGCCCAGCCAAGGGTCAGTGAACACCCCTGCACACATGATCAAGGGCCTGTTAAGTTTCCCTTCCCTTGTCCTTATGCATTTCATGTAAGTCGATGATGAAATCATGTGCATTTTAATTTCTGAAGGAAGTTGCTGTTTTAAGCAGGACCTGTTCTGCTTTCCTGGGTGCTAATTCGGACTTTCATTTCTGTGAAAACACACCCGTGGGTGCGGTGTCTGCCGCCCGGGCGCTTGCAGGAGCCCTCCGAGTCAGTTTCGAGCACCCACGAGGGGCTCCCTCCTCCCGGCCCTCACGCCAAGTGCTTCCTGGCCTGCTGGGAGCCTCTGGGCCGGGAAAAATGTATTTTTTTTTTAGTTATGGAATGTCACTGAGGAAGGTGGAGAGTTTGGGGGAAGGTGTAGCCTCTCCCCATCACCTTCTGTCGCTTTCCATCCCACGGGGGCTTTGGAGGGCACCTGCCTCCCGATGGTTTCTATTCATGGACCTGCCTGGTTTGAATGAAGCCGCGGCAGGAACCTGGCTCTCACTGGGCCGGAGCTCGACTGCAGAGAGCGGTGTCTGCGCCACTTCCAGCCACTGCGGAGCACGGGTCTGAGGGACTGTCCTCCAGTAGAGAGAATGGCAGGACTTTTTTTTAAATTGGACTCTAGAGTCACTTTTGAATGGATGAAAAAAACCCACTTTGATGTCTGACAGTACTTATGGTTTAGGTTTTTGACAAATAATTTAATTTTCTCCACTTTCAATAGTTTCATTTTTGCTATTCTTTTGTACTGAATGATGGGAATTTGGGAGCCGCTCTGGGCCAGCTGGTTCCAGGGTAAGGTCACGCGGCACGTTCGCGGGGCTCCTGGGCCCCGCGCCTGCCCTGCGGACTGCCTTTGCAGTCTGAGACCTGATCATCTCGGGAGAATCCTCCAGGCTATAAACTCTGTTGCGTGCTTTTAAACTGTGCATTTTTTTTATAGCAGTAGCTCTTCTTAAAAGGGGTGTATGCGCTGAAATGGACTCATTCCTCCCACAGGTACATTGGAAGGTCTCAGAAGACAAAAAAGCGAAGTGTGCAGAAAAGGGGAAATCAAAACAGGTAATTTCTAAGCTACAAAAAATCCTACGTGAGTATGTCTTAGCTGTTTTAATCTCCTGAACTCCACGACTTCTGAAATGCAGGCCGGGCATTTTGTCCCAGTCCTGTGGTCCTGGTAGGCTGGGCTGCGTTGTCATGACGCACGTGAAGCTCATCCCTTCTGTTCCAGAGGGTGGGAACTGGGTCTCGCAGCAAGTGCCAAACATAGTAGGTATTTGAGAAACAATTTTTGAAGTTTATATGAATTGAATTTGTCCAAATGTCCTAAACCTTTGACTATAGGAAACAATTTACAGCACTCACTGGTGAATGGCCTTAGGCTTGGAGGGGTTGCTGGGGTTTTTGGATTTTTGGCCGTGTCCATCCCTTCCACGCCTCAATGTGGGTGGACATGTTTAGGGAGCCCTGGGTTCCTGGCCACCCTGGGAACTGTCCTGTCCCTGCCTGGTGCTGGGCAGACTCTCAGATCACAGGAGCCCGTCTTCTTTAATAGTGGTTGAGACGGCTGAGTTATGGCAATTTCAGCAGTTGTTGGCTAATTTCAAAACAATTCCAAAAAAAGAAAGAAAAAAATCCAAGGAGTTTTTTGCTCAACTTTCTTAGCAAAGTGCTAAACACTTTTGCCAAAGTGTTTGTCTCTAAACCCAAAGCTACTGCAGGAAATGAGGGGAGAACAGGCGGTCCCGCGGGGAGTCGTGCTAGAGGTGAAGGAGGCCGGCAGCTGGCAGGGTCTCTGCCAGCTGGGGGCTGGGGGTCAGATTGTGAATTACTTCCCCCCAGTGTGAAAATGGTCACGACGAAAGGAGACCTTTCCTGAGCTGAGGTCATTTCAGACTGCAGCACGTACAGTCCACGTACTTTCAGCCCAGAATAGTGCGTCCTTAAACGGCGTCTTGTCGCACTCGGGGCTGTTCTGAGGCAGCGCCGCCTGCACCTCGGGGCAGGAGGGGAACCGAGGGCACCGTCTCGCGTGCATGCGTGCGTGTGGGAGGCGGGAGGCGGGAGGAGTCTCCTGGAAGGTAGAGGGATGTCCCTGCCGTGGGCGCTTCAGCGGGCGAGGGTAAAGTGGATTTTCTATAGTTGGTGTCCCCAGTAAGGTTTGAGGTAAGTTCTCCTCGCTCTTTTTAGTCACCACATCTTTGCCGAGTATTCCTCAGGCACCCGGACAGCTGTGGGCGCCACAGAGGTAGGATTAATTACTCAGGCCCCGGAAGGTTGAGGTCTGCCCGGAGTGAACCCGGATCCGCGCTCTGGAAAGGGCGGCGCGGCGGGTGCCGGCCGGCTGCTGCTGACCATGCTCTCCCCTCACAGACGGAGTGCCTCAACTACATCCGAGTTCTGCAGCCGCTCAGCGCCACGGCCCTGTACGTGTGCGGGACCAATGCGTTCCAGCCCACCTGCGACCACCTGGTAAGACCACTGGGCTTGTCCCTGTACCGCGTGTGCTCACGCCAGCCCGGGTAGCGGTTAGAGCAGAGAGGGCTCCAGGCGGGCACAGGGTGGTCTCCAGCCCGCAGAACAGTAGAATTGGCTCAGGGCCCGCCGTGTGAGGAGGGGCAGCTCGGGCGCCTCCAGAAGGCCTTTCCCGGCTGTGGTCAGCAGCACGTGTTCCATTCAGTTCCTCTAGGCCCTGGCGTCCGTGGCCAAGCACATGGCCTGGGACAGAGCTCAGGGTGCTGGTAACCACCGGTGCAGGACACGCAGTGGGGGAACGTTCTAGAAAGTGAGGAAGGCCTGGCTGCCATGGGGTCTGGGTCAGGTGGGAAAGTCAGGACTTAGCCCGGGATCATGTGTGCTCAGCTGGCGCTTCTGTGTGTCTGCGTCACCGTTTGGGGCCGGCCACACGTGTGCAGCTCGCCCGTGGACTGCTCTCCCGCGCGCCCACTCTGAGGGGCCGTGAAGAGTGTGCTGAGCTGCTTGGGAAGCAGGACCCGCCCTGTCCCTCACAGCGTCACCTCCCTGACTCTGCCCAGATGTGTCCAGCGCCTCCCCTGCGTAGGGTCCTCGGGAGGGCCCTTCCCCATGCCTCACAGTCACACGGAGAGAGAGGTTAGATTTCGGCATCTGCTGGGAGAGATTCTTTTTAACCAGATAATCTGACGAGCAGTTTGCTAACAGAGCGGGGGGTTTTAATTAAGTGCATGCAAGGGTTGAAAATGAAGCACATTTCTGTTAAGTGTCTCTGGATTTAGCGAGCACCTGACAAATGCAAAATACGCAGCAGTGAAAAGCTTAGTTTGCTTGAACCCTGAATTAATTGGAATTTAAAAAAATATTTTCCAACCTTGAGTCAGAGACAAATGACAAGACAAAGCATGAACTCAGTAGAAACTTTCTCGGGAACCCTGGTGCCCGCACGGGGTTTGGGGCGAGATCTGAGCATGGGTGCTGGTGGTGACGGCCTGTCCGGGGTGAGGGTGGTCCCGGCTGGTGCGGCCCCCCGTCCGCAAAGACAGGTGTTTCTTCTTGATCCAGTGCAAAAAAAGAAAGTGCAGTTATGCTAGAAACACTTTGCACATCAACGGATTTTTGTGGCTAAATTCTGCTTAATAGGAAGCTTCCAGTACTGTCATTTAAACCTGTATTCCATAGATACGTCAGTGGTTGAGGTAAGGGGATGGTATTGTAATATATACTTGGTTTAACTCTAGACCTGTAATTTTCCCTAATACTCTTAATAAAAGTTTTCACCTCTACTGAAAGGTCGATCACTCACGTGTATACATGCTAGCAACCGGGACTACACTTCTGGGAGTGTGTGTGCGCAGGTGTCTGTGTGTGAGCGTGTGTGCTTGCCGAACTGTGGCCCATGGCTCCCGAATGGCTTCATGAGCATTTCCTAAGAGCAGTGACATTGTCCTGCGTAACTCTAGTTTCATCATTATGTCTCAGACCGTGTACAGCAATTCCCCAATGTGTCTGACCCCAGCCCCGTTCACATTTGTGCGGTAGCCCCCAGACATCCTTTTGAGGTGCGATAAGTGGATCATGTCAAGTGGGGTCTATTGTCACCCAGTTCATACTCTGTGACCTCACAGGTGACAACCCATGTAGTGGGCTGTTTCACCCGGCCTGTTAGGGATGTCAGCAGTGGCCGTCCTCCCAAGCGAGCCCCTCCTGCTCTGCTTCTGGGGTGTCCCGGCCAGCCTCCTCCGTGCGCAGCACCCCCTTGCAGCTCTAGGCTGCTAGATGCAGTGATGGTCCCACTGTCATTCTCCGTGTCCCTGGCTTTGCGGCAGGCTTGCCCTGTCTTGTCTTCCTGTCTGTGCTGTCCAGATGGGTTTCCGCTTCTGTCACTGGCTGAGTTTTGCTTGTTTTTCTGCTGGGAGGCTCTTTCTCGCTCATTTGTACATATTCGTCACGTGCTCAGGGACAGAAACACCCCATCTGTCACTTTGTAGGCATTTCTCCCAATTTGCCACTTGCTGTTAACTTTGTTATGTTGTTTCCCTGGACGAGAGTGTCCCAGTTCGTTCTGTCATTGGCTCCATGCATTTTTCCCGTACGTGGGTTTGGGCTTGTCGCTTACGTGGGTTTGGGCTTGTCGCTTACGTGGGTTTGGGCTTGCTTGCCGGATGAAGATAGCCCAGGACTGCAACGCTTGCCCACGCTTTCTTCTAGCGCCTCGGTTCCATTGTCAGGGTCCAAGTCATTGATCCACCTGGAATACTCTTTGGTGGTGGGAGAGGGGTGGGGATGCTGCTGCTTTTTGTTTTTGTGTTTCTGTTACCTGTTTATTGGATCGTCCGGTTCTCCCCACTGCCTGGAACGCCACCTGTATGGCACCAAGATTCTGCACATGGGCTTCGGGTCACTTATGGAGCATGTCCTGCATGTGGCTTGCCCTGGCTGGAGCCATCAGTACTGCCAGCTCTGTTTTATAGATGGGTAAACTGAGGCTCCAAGGTCTTGAGAAGCTTGTCCAGGGTGTCAAGGGCCCCGAGGTGCTGGCATCCAGACCCGAGCTGAGTGACACCAGGCATGGCTCCGGAGGGCGGGATTCATGGGACTCGACACTCATTTGCTCTGTCCTCGTTAGTGGGTGGTGCCAAATCCGTAAAATGAATGGCGCACAGACACCTTATTCCTACAGAGATTCAGCCATTTTATGATGCACTTTCTTTTTATTCAACTGCAGAGTTTAATATCCTTTAAATTTCTGGGGAAAAACGAAGATGGCAAAGGAAGGTGTCCCTTTGACCCAGCGCACAGCTACACGTCCGTCATGGTTGGTGAGTCCTGCCCTCAGCTTCCATCACCCCTGAGGATTGGGGGGCATGCCAAAGCGGGACCCTCAGTCCTCTTCCTTCTCAGTGTTCTCTTCGTGGCTTTGTTGCGATGTTAGCTGTCCTCACAAAAGGTGCGTGTGACTCTGCGTGGACCCTTCAGCAAGGGCTTTTGGATTCACTGTTCACAAGGACAACCAGGCACCAGCAGAGAGCATTACTTTACATCCACCCTGGTGCACACCATGTGGATGATCAGGCACGTCAAGCGGATGCTCCTGCTTGTGGGGGAGGTGTGTGCCCAAGCCACGTGTGGCCCACGGTGATCTCGCACCTCAGCATCCAGGCCGTGGCCTCGGCACTTGCTGCCGTGTCCGTTAGCATTTTCCTGGATGCGGGAAGTACCTGCTTGTGTTCAGTTATCGCCCAGTGACTCATAAAATGCAGCTGAATGTGGACATAAAATTATCCACGTCAAAGGAGAACAGGAGAGTCAGGAAGCAGAGGCGTGCACCCCAGAAGTCGGGGGACCGGCTTTTGTGTTCTCTGGCGGCTGTGACTTAACTAGGTTATAAAGAACAACATGCTGAGCGTTTGTCCCAGTGTTTGTGCCACAGCCTGAGAGGCTGGTTTCCTTTTCCTCTTTCCCCGGGGCCTCTGCAGATGGAGAACTTTATTCTGGGACATCGTATAATTTTCTGGGAAGCGAACCCATCATCTCCCGAAATTCTTCCCACAGTCCTCTGAGAACGGAGTACGCGATCCCCTGGCTCAACGGTAAGCAGAGCCGCTCGGCAGAAGGCGTCTCTTCCTGTTTGGTCTCTCCTTTTGCTGCCTCCGAGCCCTGCGGGTCCCTGAGCTAGTGTCAACCCCTGTGTGGTGGGGACGTTCCTGGAACTGCTCAGAGTCCACAGCCAGAGCCCAGGGCCACCTCGTTTGTTTTCTTCTCTGCTAACAAGATGCTGTTTTAAGACAGCTTCTCCCCAACCCGCACCCCGTGCCCTCCGTGCAGATGAATTTGGGAGACTTTCATGAAAGTGAGATTCTGACCGATGGTACGTGGCGAACTCAAACTTATCAGATAGGGCCACGACGTCATTTCCAGGCTGATGCTAAAGCGTGCAGTGACCCTGGTGTCGGCACCTCCTCTGTGTTCAGCCTCCAGCACACAGGTGGCTGGGAGCTGGGTACCTTGTCACTGCTGGACAGCACACATCTGACGTCCGACTCATGCGTGCAGAGGGCTTGCGGCTGTTCACGGGGGCTTTTCTTGTGGGTGCCAACCAGCAGAGCCCTGGGGGTTAGAGCCTCTTCATCTGGGGGCAGATCCTGAGGCCTGGGATTCGGGACAGCTGCGCCTCAGGGTGGGGCAGCCAAGGAGCTAGAGTCTCAGGGCACCTAGCTCTGGTGGTTTGTTTATTTCAGGCACATGTTTAAAGCAGCAAATGCCTGTCTTACGGTAGGTTTCCGAGGCTGGTATGGCCTGGTTCCCTGCAGTCCCCAGAGTGTATGCCAGTTGGGAGGCCCAGCGTGGGTGCTCGGGGTGGACCTGGGGCGAGATGTGCAGCAGAACCACCAATCAGAGGCACCTCTCTAAGGCTGGGGAAGGTGGGGCAGGCACCGTTTGGGCTCACAGCAGCCATCGTCCCTGGCCCCTGGAGTTTATGATTGAGGTGTGGCACATGCACACACCAGACGTCCTTGCAGGGAAGCCGCCAGGCCCCCGAGGCAGCGCTGGCCGGCCTGGTGACCCTGTGGGTGACGGGCAGTCACACAGCTCTGTGCACAGGGATAATCCCGTGTCCTCTCCCCGCAGAGCCTAGCTTCGTCTTCGCCGACGTGATCCGAAAAAGCACAGACGGCACCGATGGTGAGGACGACAAGGTCTACTTCTTCTTCACGGAGGTGTCTGTGGAGTACGAGTTTGTGTTCAGGCTGCTGCTCCCGCGGGTAGCGAGGGTGTGCAAGGTGAGTGCCTCGCCCTCCCGGCTTCCACTCGGCTCTGCCGCGTGGCGGTGGGCGCGGAGGATCGGCCACTTCCGACCTTCCTCTGAAATGTCGCTTTCCCTGGCGCTTCACTGCCTGGTGCCACAGATGCCGCTCTTGATGGGCCTGTGTGGCACCAAGCCTTCCTTTCTGGGGGATTCTGGTGGCCTTTTTTAGAGACCAAGGGGACGTTGGACCTTCTGTGTGCGAACTTGATGTTCTTAGGAGATTCGTTTTTTGTTTGTTCCTCAGACCTCCCCTAGATTATAAAAAGATTTTGTGAAAGGTATTCATCGGGTGCTAGTGGAGTTGGAATTTTCACTCTGGGCTCTCGTGACCTAAGAGCGAAACACTAACTGACTGCTTAGGCGGAGAGAGAGCAGGCACCACACTCGTCAAAGCGGTTTGAAGCGCATATTAGGGGAGAGAGGATGGTTTTAAAATAACAGCCATAGGCACAGGGCTCAGCACAAGCGAATGGCTTTGGGGGCTGATTTTAGGAAATCTTAAACTGGCCCAGGTGGGAGTTTCTCTACGAGGTGGGACAGGCCTTAGGTGAACCATAGGAAACCACGTGAGACAGAACAGCTGCTGTCACGCTGGCTGCTCAGCGTGGAGCCAGTGGACACGCGTCCCTCGTGGAGATCGTCAGACGTACAGTTGCTGCGTGGCCCTTCTTGTGTAGTGAGCACCATGAGAAGATCACAGAAGCAAGAATGTCCTGCCTGCGACACACAAAGCAGGTGCTTTGGACATCTCTCCTTCAACAACCCGTGCCAAGGGAGAAAGTGGGCGCTTTGTATCCACCCGGGTCTTCTCTAGCCAGGCTCGCTGACCGAATCCTCCACGTGTCCCCTGACCTGTGGCTGCCACTCTCCCTGTCTTGCAGACCAGGAGAGCATCTAGCCAAGGGCAGATGTGCACGGCAGGCTGGGGCTCGGTGCGCTGGGGTGGGCATTGCAGGGCCGGGCTCCGTGCAGGCAGGGAGCTCCGTCAGGGCAGCGCTAGCCGGCGGGGCTCGAGCTCTCCTCTGCTTCTTCCACCGGGAAGCCGGGCTCAGACTTGCCGTGATCTTGACTTGTTGCCTGGCTCTGGGGGTTTCTGTGAGCGGGGCCAGGGAGGCACAGCGCAGCTTGCCCCCTCGTCCCCCAGGGCTCTGCGGGTCTTACGCACTTCTGGCCTCCCTTCGAATCCTCGTCCTTTCTTTTCCCACAATTGTTAGAATTCCTGGGCAGAGGCCATTTGAGCATAGCCCCCATCTGCCCCGTGCGTAGGACCCTTCCCCTGCCCCCTGACACACCTGAAAGCCAGATGGGACAAATGACCAGAGACATGCTGGACACTACTCTTCGGTAAAGCATCAAGGAAGACAACGAAGTCATTTGTTAAAAAAGGACTGTGATCACACTAGAGACAAGGAGGGGGCATTTTCATTCTGCCCAAAATAAGTAAGGACTTCGATTTTATTAATATATTTTTCTACATTCAGATTTCATAGTTTCAGTGTTTCTCTCCAGAACACACACAGTTGTGTTTTATAATTGTCTCCCAGCTGTCAGGTCACTGACGAGTGTTAGTGAAGAACCTGGTAGGGCCAAGGCACTGCAGAGGTCGTCTGGGTGGAAGGGAAGTGAGGATCGAGTCCCTCGGGGGAGGTCCACGCGCTCACCCGAGACGGGCTGCAGGGCCGGGTGCTGTCCAGTGGGAGGGGCTGCCCACCGCCCACCCAGCCCAAGTGCGTTCGTTGACAGGTCAAGTGTCCGGCAAGCCCCAGGGCGGAGGGCAGAAGCGTGTGGCACGGAGGCTCACGTCTGCACTGTGGGGCCAGTGGCAGGCACACAGCCAGGCTGTTTTAGCTGGAATCGAATGAGCTTTCAGTGAGAGAGTTTTGTCTGTTTTGTTTTGGGTTTTAATCTGGGAACGTTCTCTGGCTCCAGCCGGTACTCGGAGGTAGTGCTGGGGCCCCGCGATTGCGCCCCTGTCCTGGCTGGCTCGGGCAGCGCTGTGCTGTGCCGGGGCGGGCGAGGCTGCACTGCTGTGTCTAGGGCCTGCTCATGAGTCCCCTCTCCTCATACCACGTCTTGTCACTGGGGTTTTAGGGGGACCAGGGGGGCCTGAGGACCTTACAGAAGAAGTGGACCTCTTTCCTGAAAGCCAGACTGATCTGCTCCCGGCCGGACAGCAGCCTGGTCTTCAACGTGCTACGGGACGTCTTCGTCCTCAGGGCCCCGGGCCTGAAGATGCCCGTGTTCTATGCACTCTTCACCCCACAGCTGTAAGTGTCTGGGCGGGGGTCTGTGCCCTACCTCTCTCACTGCCCGCCAGGCAGTCACGATGCCTCTCTCCCCTGCCCAGGAACAATGTGGGGCTGTCGGCAGTGTGCGCCTACAACCTGTCCACGGTGGAGGAGGTCTTCTCCCAAGGGAAGTACATGCAGAGCGCCACGGTGGAGCAGTCCCACACCAAGTGGGTGCGCTACAATGGCCCAGTGCCCAAGCCACGGCCTGGAGCGGTGAGTGGGGCCCCGGGCCTGGGGGCGGTAGTGATCCTTCTGCCCCTCCAAGGCCCAGAGAGTGAGACTTGGTTCAGGTGCTGAAGCTTCCTTACACCCTGGGTGCCTGGCCATGCCGGGGCCTCCCTGGCCTGGGCAGGTGCGGGAGCTGTCTCCAGGACAAGCTGGGTGTCCGTGGGAACTGGGGGATCCAGTGAGCACAGCTCGCCCTTTTTCTGCGTTCTTCTCTTTTGCGTATTATGGAACAGTCATGCTACGTGCTGCCCAGACAAGAAGGCTGTGCCGCTGGCACGGGCTGTTTTTCGGATTAACTTTGCATAACACAACTGGGTCTATTTCCTTTTTAGTTTCCCACCGAGGAGCACACGATTGCTTGGTAGAGGCCTGTGCGCTCGCATGAGCTCTGCTGCCCACTGGTCAATAGGAATCCCATTTCTTCCTCCTAGAAATAATGAATTTTGTGTTGTAATTAGTGCAGGTTTCCAGGCTGCTTTGTGTCTGCTCATGGGGCAGCATGCAAGGCCCTCGGTGGAGTGTCCTGGTCTCCTCTGTGGGGCATCTGTCCCCAACACATCATTGCTCCTTCTGTGCATTCTGTTAAGTTCTGTGTTCACTTCTGGCCACGGATTTTGGTTTACGCACGTCAGGGAGCTGGGACAGAAAAGGAATTCTGCACGTTCTTTACCTTTTATTCTGTTTATAATTGGACTGTTTTTAGCAATGTTTAGCATTCTTCTCTTCTCATGGAAGCACTATAAGTAAGTGTTCTGTTTTTCAATTTCAGAAGCTTGGTAAGTATTTTTCATTTATAAGTGGATAAAAATTCCTCCGCTGATTATATATAATGAAATGTAATTCTGTCTTACGGATACACTTTGTAATAGTGTCTTCGGATCCCGGGGGAAAGGCCACCTCTGTTATTCACTGGTACCCTTCTTTCAAGAAGTCCCTGTGTGGTTCCCACGTGTCACACCTTAGGAAGGCCCAAGGCGTGTGTGGCGGTGCCGTGCTGGGTTGTTGGGGGACGTGCATGTTAACAGCCGATGACTTTGTTCCCTGTAGTGCATCGACAGCGAAGCTCGGGCGGCCAACTACACCAGCTCTCTGAATTTACCAGACAAAACGCTGCAGTTTGTCAAAGACCACCCTCTGATGGATGACTCAGTGACCCCAATAGACAACAGGCCCAGGCTAATCAAAAAAGATGTGAACTACACTCAGATCGTGGTGGACAGGACTCAGGCCCTGGACGGGACCGTCTATGACGTCATGTTTGTCAGCACAGGTGGGTTCTGAAGGCTTGACAGAGGTAGCGTGTCTGTGTCTTGCTAAGAAAGTGAGAAAGTCCAAATAATCTTTTACAAGTGCATCAGAAGTCTCCCTGGGCCGGGTGCAGTGGCTCATGCCTGTAATCCTAGCTCTCTGGGAGGCCGAGGCGGGTAGATCGCTCAAGGTCAGGAGTTCGAGACAAGCCTGAGCAAGAGTGAGACCCCATCTCTACTAAAAATAGAAAGAAATTATCTGGACAACTAAAAATATATACATAGAAAAGATTAGCCGGCCATGGTGGTGCATGCCTGTAGTCCCAGCTACTTGGGAGGCTGAGGCAGGAGGATCGCTTGAGCCCAGGAGTGTGAGGTTGCTGTGAGCTAGGCTGACGCCACAGCACTCTAGCCAGAGCAACAGAGCCAGACTCTGTCTCAAAAAAAAAAACAAAACAAAAAACAAGTCTTCCTGGAGGTGACCCAAGCAGTTTGTTTACAGTATGAAAGGACTTCTGAGAAGTCACCATATGTAGTGGCTTTCAGATCTGGATGACCACCAGGCCACCTGGACACTTGCTAGAAGTGGGCCACCTGGGCTGGGCTGGCGGGTGATGCCCGCGCAGGGGCGGGTGTGAGAGCTGCCTGGGAGGGGCAGCAGCCTGCGTTTCCTGACTGCTGGCAGAAGACCACATCCCTGGTCCCCTGCCGAGGAGCTGGGTTGGAGACGTGCCCTGACTTGCCGTGTGGCACATCTCCCCCAGCTGGTAGACTCTGAGATGAGCACTTCTGGAACAGAGAATGGGGACCGGGAGCCACGGTGGCTGGCAAGGCCCCACGGCCTGCCCTCGGAGCCTGCCAGCTGGCCTCGCTTGTGCCCTGCCACCTGCCTGCCTGGGCCCCTCCTGGACGACACCCTCAGGGCTGGTGGAAGTCGGGAGTCACCTCCTGTGGAATGTAGTTTCAAATGCTGTAATGTCGACCTTGTTGATGAAGGGTTGTTGTGGAGTCAACAACAGAATGTTTTTCATAAAAGAAACCGAAATAGCCCATAACGCTTGAGTGTCTGGTTGTTTATTTTTCCAAAGGCTTTTTCTTTTGATTTCGTCATGCAAAACCGTCATCTTTTTCCAAGTATCTTGTTGAGGGCGTGACTAGAGAACGAAGAAGGGGAATGTATGCTCCACGGTCTTTGTCCTTGGCTTCTCCTTCCGGGGCCACATTGCTGACCTGTACCTTTGACCTCGCAGACCGGGGAGCCCTGCACAAAGCTGTCAGCCTGGACAACGACGTGCACGTCATCGAGGAGACCCAGCTTTTCCAGGACGCAGAGCCAGTCCAGACCCTGCTGCTGTCTTCAAAGAAGGTGAGTCACCCGGGCGGCGGGCCAGGGGTCTGCCTTGCTTGGCGGCTTCAGGTCGCAGTGATCCAGTGACCCAGGAGTCGCCAAGCTGGAGTGAGGCATCCGCAGGCCCCTCCGTCTGTCTGGCCCCGATGCGCTGACCCGGGTCTCCCACAAAGCTGTCCGTGCGCTGTGGGATCTGAAGTTTGGGAAGGAGGGAAGGCAGACCTGGGGAGACAACTTTCTTTTCGGAGTTGCCAGAACGTCAGAGTGGTTGTTGCAGGTTTATGGGCTATGGTGAGGTGGGCTTGTGCCCTCTGGAAACACATTCTGGTGCCCTGAGCTTGGCCAGATCGCAGGCTGCGCCAGTGGGGTGTGATGTGGATGCAGCCGCGTCATCAGCGTGGACACTCCGTCAGAGAAATGGCACGTCGCGTCTATAGAGCTCTCTCTGCTTTGACGGGGTGCTTTCTCCTGCATGGCGGTGGCGAGCCTTTCTCATAAGAGGTAGTGAGTTTTCGAGGCTGTGAGGGCCGTGAGGTCAAGGAGGCAGTTCCTCAACTGCTGCCGTAGCCCTGGTGAGTGTGGCCAGGGCATACATGAGGGCGCCTGATTGTGGACATTGAGCTTTGTACCTCCCAAAAGTTTCATTTGTCACAGAATATTATTTGGCTTTTTTTCAACCACTTACAACTGTAAACCCCATTCTTGGTTGGCCAGCGGTATAGAAACGGCCAGGATGCTGGCTTTGGTCACCAGGCCATAGTTTGTGATCCCATCTGAGGTCGGTGGCCTTGGGACGTGCCGTAGCTGGGGACAGAGCACGGGGGAGCAGAGCGCAGGTGGCCCAAATCCCCAGCTCCACTGTTGGTGGCTGCGAGCCTGAGCAGGCCAGCCATGTTCTGTGCCTCAGTTTCCTCATCTGTGTAGTGCTCCCAGGAGGGGCTGGCCCCCCGCCAAGAAGTGTCCTACTGAGGGCTTACTAGTGGGAGGCAGCGGCCTGGGGAGGGCCCGCCTGTGACTGGCAGAGACACTTGCCTGTCTGTGTTGGGGTCTACCCTGCTGGGCTATGGGCCTCGTGCTCTGACCAGCTGAGCTAATGGGCCCGCGGCCATGCTCGCAGTTTCTGGTGCTGGCCCTGGGACTGCCAAGCCCCCAGCGCCGGGCGCCACCTGTCACTCAGCCTCTCCTGCTTGCACTGTGTCTAAAGCCTTGCTCCAGCACGTCAGCCTGGGCCCATCGCCCCCCTGTGCCGCTTTCCGCTGTGGCAGAGGATCTCTGGCTTGACCTGCAGTATTCCCGAGCGGCCCTGGGCAGGGATGGGTGACATCCACGCTGGCTCTTCAGGGGGCTGCCTCCTGCAGCTGGCTGCTGCCGGGCCTCCACCTACCTCATGGGGTCCCCAGGCAGTGGGCAGAGGAAGAGGCCCCTGCCCAGCCGGGCAAGAACAGAGCTGCCCTCGTGCTGGTGCAGATTTGCAAACCTCCCTCCTCTATCCGCAAACTTTCGGCAGAGTCCTGGTACAGGGCTACCTCCCCTCTCTGCAAGTGCGTTTCCTCCCTCGGTTCGGAAAGGGGAAGGAAATGGAATTGCTCGAGTGAGTTGCAAGCCGTCAGGTACTTGGCGTCGGTGCTGGTCTTGCCTCTCAGTCTCCAGAACGTGTGGGGAGCCCTGGAGATTTGAAGGGTTGGTGCTTTAGCCGCCCTGCGGGCCCCAGCCGCCCTCATTGTTGAAAGAAGCAGACCCAGATGCCCTTCTGGGGCTGCCACGGTGCTTAGTCACCTCAGCCAGACTGGGGCAGACGCATGGAAGGTCTCCAAAATGTGCAGGACCTGTCAGAGTAACGGTCGGCCCTGGTGTGGACGCTGGTGAGAACGAGGCTCTGCTCCACACGGTCGCTCAGGGGCCCAGGCTGGCGGAGGCGCCCAGGGCATGTAGGGACTGGACTGGACTGATCCTCAAAGGCGGAAGGAGGTAGGGAAGGGGATCCTGTGTAGGAGACAGTTACAGGTCAGTCCTGTGCTCACCTGTTCAGCCAGAACTCAGTCACCTGGCCACACCAGGCAGCTGGTCAGACGGGACCTGGGCCCACGAGGGAGAGCTGATGGGTTTGGGGAAGTGCGTGCTGGTCCTGCCGGGCCACCCGCCTTGCCTGTCCCCACAAGAGCCTCCGCTTCATGGGGACAGCACTGAGTTGCCTGGGAGAGGCGGGAATGCATCCTGTGTGCCAAGGGTTCCGCAGCTCCCCCTGGGGCCGGGTGGGCTCGAATGCGCGGCTGTGTAGCCCCAGCAGCAGGCGTGGCTGTTCAGAGGTGTAAAGACTCAGGCAGCCAGCGTGGCAGAAGGCAGGGAAGGAGCTTGGTGGCTCGTCTGCCTCTGGCCATGCCCACCGTCACCCATGGCCTGCCCGAGGCCCCGCATGCACGTGCACCGGTGGAGTCCGCAGCCGGAAGGTGTGAGCCCAAGTGCTGCTGCGGAGGGGACAGTCGCCGGGCCAGGGCAAGGGGAGGCGGGAGACGGGTGGAGAGCTTGAGGGCGCGGTGCATGGGGCAGGCTGGCTCTCCGCGTGCCCCACTGATGCTGTGCGGCGCCCAGTCAAGCTTGTCTTTTCCTCTGCCTTTTTAAAATTCTTTCTCTTGAAATCCTTCCTGACTTACAGAAGGGTTAACGGTGTTCCGCAGCCCTTCCCAGCCCTCCCAGCCGGCTGTGCCGGTGTCACTCCTCACGTGGCCAGTGTGCCTCTATCCAAGCCGAGGCGCCGGCCAGGGTGCTGCGCGTCACCTGGACCTCCACCCACTGCCTCTCGGCTGTGGGATCCCAGGTTGCGTTTGGGCGTCACGTCTCTTCCGTGTCTCCGTCCGTCCCTGCATCCTGGGGGCCCAGCGCTCCTGGACAGCACCGGTTGGTGTCTGCGGCCCGTCTGGTGCTCTCTCCTGAGGCTCCCGGGGCTGTGGGTTCGGGGAGCACCTCAGAGGGCGCCTGCTGGGGATGTGGTGTGCGCATGACGCAACGCGAGTCAGCGCCATGGTTTCCCATGCCCGTGCGCTGGGGTCTGGCCCCCGAGGGGCTGAGGCAGCGTGAGCCCCACCTGCTGGGTGGTGTGTGGGCGTGTGTGACAACCCCACAGTCATTTCCACTGAGGGCGACTGCGAAGCTACACAGACCCCCGTTCTCCTTTCACCCGCTCCCATCCACCCCCGCAAGCGGGCCCTGCCTGCTGCAGTCACTGCTGTCCTGGCGGCCGGCGCCCCTCCCCCTCGTCCCTGCGGTGTCTGTGCACGGGCGTCCGTGGGGCGTCGTTCTGGTGTCGCAGCTCCGTCTCGCTCGGGCTCCCGCCGGCCTCGTCTGGGGCAGGGGGGTGGGGGCTGAGCCTCCTGCCAGCAGGGAGGGCGGGGGTCCTGGGGGCGTCCACAGCCCACCCGCCCCCACAGCCTCTGCCTGCCTCCTGCTGGGCTGAGGGGTCAGGTGGGCTGCCCTCAGCGCCCAGGGACACCTGTTCTGCTCTGCGTGAGTGTCCCCACAGCGCCTTGCACGTGTCCCCGGCAGGGCCCAGTGGCCCTCTGAAGGTGCCCGGCATAGCCTTTGTCACCAGGGAACATTTCCACACCTCTACAGAACGTGCCATGCCCTGAACTGTGACCCAGACGTCCGCCTCAGTCCTTTTCAGCAACGTGGTGGGTATGTGGCCTCATCTGCCCAAGTCCCCACTGCTGCGGATGGGCCGGGTCCCCTCTTGCTGTTGATGGCGCCATCTGTGGGGGGTTCCCTTTCGTGTGTCTGCACCCACGCAGGCTGGTGTGGCTCCTGGAGTCTGGGGCCTCGGACGCCTCGCGGCCTGTGGTCTGGATCAGCGCCAGGGACCGTGACCTCAGCTAGACTCTGAAGTTGCCCCAGAATGTATGCGTTAGAGAAGGGCTGTGCTTCGCCTGACTCTAAAACACCAAGTTGTGTGAACCTGGGAGTCTTGTGATATTAACCAAAAGGTTTTTCTGGGACATTGAGGTGAGACAGATGCTCCCAGACAGAGTAAAGAGGGTTCCTCGTACCACCTGCCAGCCTGTCGTGAGCCCTGAGCTTCAGGTGAGCGCAGGTGGGGCACCCCCCGCCAGCTGAGTTGGTTTTAGCAAAGTTGACAGTGTTGCTGCCTGTGTCCAGCACGGTGGTGCCAGCAGGCTGAGGGGCTGGACCCGAAGCCAGCGCCACCCAAGCTGAGCATCCAAAGGATGGAGGTCGGGTCTGCTCTCCGCTCTGAGTGTGGCCACGTGGGGCCCATCGGTGGCTCTCCCGTCTGTGTGTCCCTCCCTGGCACGCGTACACGTGTGGAAAGGCGTGTTTCCTTCACACAGCATCCCCGTTAGGCCAGGCCCCTGCTAGATCCAGACCCCAACGACACGCCCTGTCCAGGGGCACGCACGGCCTGGCGGGGAGGTCGGGCTTCGGAGGTGGTGCCCTGTGGCCCGTCTCACCTGCGGCGTCAGGCTAGTGCATCCCCCTCCCACGGAGGGGACCCGGGGTGGGGACAGAACAGTCTCCTCCCCCAGAAGAGATATGTGCAGGGAAGCAGTAGGGCCCAGGCGGCGGGTGGCCGGACGGGGCGGGGCGGGATTCGGGCCCAAGGCCCAGTGAGCCCTCACCTAGCGTGAGGGCTCTGCTCCAGGGTCACGCCCGCGGTCACCCGCGTTCCTCTCTGGGTGTCTGGCTTGCTCAGACCTCGCCTAGGGAAGTCTTTCTCCCGTCCCTGGCGGTGCCCCCGTGGCTTCCCGCGAGCTGGCGCAGCGGCGCAGAGCCTGCCGGGCTGTGACTGCCTGACGCCGGTTCTCTGTCTCCGTGCACAGGGCAGGAGGTTTGTCTATGCCGGCTCCAACTCGGGCGTGGTCCAGGCCCCCCTGGCCTTCTGTGCGAAGCACGGCACCTGCGAGGACTGCGTGCTGGCTCGGGACCCCTACTGTGCCTGGAGCCCGCCGGCAGCCACCTGCGTCGCCCTGTACCAGGCCGAGGGCCCCAGCAGGTACGGGGCGGGGCGCCTGCGCGCGACGCCCCCTGCGTGCGGCCGAGTAACGAGTGCCGGTTGTCTTGCAGGGGACTGATCCAAGACATGAGTGGCGACGCCTCCACGTGCCCCGGTGAGTGGCTCCTCCTCCTCCTGCCTGCGCGGGAGCAGTGAGGCCTCCTGGCCATTCCGTGGCGCTTCAGTTCTGTGGCATTGTGTGCATCTCCTTTTTCTCTCCCCTCTCGGAAGAGGGGTCCTGTGTCGGGTGGCGGGCTCCGTAGTCTGTCTCCATGCCTTCTGTTGCGGGAGAGCGTGCGACGCCACTTGGAGTTGTCTGTTTACTGGGAGTGCTCCCCAGCCCCTGTCCTCTGCTCTTCCTGCTCAGCCCGGGGCTCGCCAAACAAAATCCAGCCCTGCTGTACCTGGGGGAAAGGAGCCCCGAGACAGTGGTCCGTAGGCAGCTGGGGGACTTGGATGGCATTTCCTCGGGGCTCCCCCTGGGGGTGCCCATGCCTGTGGCCATCTGGAAATGGCGCCATGACCAGAGGAAGGGTGGAATCAGGTCAGGATGTCCCGTCCTCAGTGCTGCTAGCGGTCTTGGTGCTATAGGCAGACCTGCCCCTGGGTTCTGTGTCCTCCCCTCCCGGCAAGAGTGCTGTCATCAGACTCAGAGAAGTGTAGGAGGAGGGTGCTGAGGTGCACTGAGAGGCTGACCTTCCGCGTAGCCAGTAACAGAAGCATTTCACGTCCGACTCAAAGTGCTGCCACCAGACACCAGCCTGGCCTGTGTGCCCAGCCTCCTCCCGCCTGGCATGTTTTCTCCCTGGACGCGGGGAGAAACGGGATTCTGCTGCTCAGAGGTGCCTCCGATTTCTTTGTCCCCGTGGGCTGCTCATCTCTTTGCTTCTTGGTCACGCATGCCTTTATTTCCTTAGTTCTGGAACAGTCCATCTTGCTCCGGTGGGTGAAGCTCTTATGTCATCTTGTGGGTATTAACCTATTTTGTAAAGAAGTTAGGTAGCAAACAGGGTTGTTGATGCTGTGCACATTTATTTTGATGTTCCAGATAAAGTTAAAGAAAGTTACCGGCAGCATTTTTTCAAGCATGGCGGCACAGCGGAACTGAAGTGCTCCCACAAGTCCAACCTGGCCCGGGTGTTCTGGAAGTTCCAGAACGGCGTGTTAAAGGCCGAGAGCCCCAAGTACGGTCTTGTGGGCAGAAAAAACTTGCTCATCTTCAACCTGTCGGAGGGAGACAGTGGGGTGTACCAGTGCCTGTCAGAGGAGCGGGTCAGGAACAAGACGGTCTTCCAGGTGGTTGCCAAGCACGTCCTGGAGGTGAAGCTGCTCCCGCGGACCCCGGCAGTGCCCACCTCGCCGGCTGTTCAGACGGAAGGCAGTCGGGTTGCCCCAAAAGTGTCAGCCGTGTCCACCCCGGGGTTCCCTCCCCCGACCCCAGCCGTGCAGGTCAGCTCCCCCAGGGCCGGCACCCCTGCTCCCAAGCCCGCGCCCACCAGCACGCCCTGCGAACCAAAGATTGTCATCAACACGGTTCCCCAGCTCCACTCGGAGAAGACCATGTACCTCAAGCCCAGCGACAACCGCCTCCTCATGTCCCTCTTCCTCCTGTTCTTCGCCCTCTTCCTCTGCCTCTTCTTCTACAACTGCTACCAGGGCTACCTGCCCGGACACTGCTTAAAATTCCGCTCGGCCCTGCTGCTCGGGAAGAAGAAGCCCAAGTCGGACTTTTGTGACCGTGAGCAGAGCCTGAAGGAGACGTTGGTGGAGCCGGGGAGCTTCTCCCAGCAGAACGGGGAGCAGCCCAGGCCAGCCCTGGACACCGGCTACGAGACAGAGCAAGACACCATCACCAGCAAGGTCCCCACCGACAGGGAGGACTCGCAGAGGATCGACGAACTCTCCACCAAGGACAAGCCGTTCGACGTCAAGTGCGAGCTGAAGTTCGCCGACTCGGATGCGGACGGAGACTGAGGCCAGCCGCACGTCCCCACCCTTGCCTCGGCCGTGACACGTCCACATGTGGGGAGTTCCGTGTTCCTCCCGTTCGGTAGCCGCGTCTTGTGTAGCACCGCGTAGGTTAGCCAGCGTCGGCAGCCAGCCTCCGTCCTCCGTCTGTGTTCTCCTGGGTTGAGCCTGTGACTTGGTTTCTCTTTGTCCTTTTGGAAAACGACAAGCGTCGCATCCCACGGTCGGTCAGAGCGCTTTAAGGAGTCCTGCGGGCGACGGCGCGGACTTACCTGAGCCCTTTCTGTAGTGGGGGAGGCGGCTTGACTCCCACCGGCTAGAAGAGCATCCCTCAGCTTCCCTCCTCATAGCAGCCACTAAAAGATAATTAATTCCAGATTGGAAATGACATTTTAATTTATCAGATTGGTAACTTATCGCCTGTTGTCCAGATTGGCACAAACCTTTTCTTCCACTTAATTATTGTTTTAGGATTTTACTTTGATTGTGTTCATGTGTTAGGTCATTTTTTTATTACTGATGCACATGTTTTAATATTTAGAAGAATATATCTTCTAGATTTTGTTATATATTGGGATAAAATACGGCTTACGTTGCTTAAGATTCTCAGGGATAAACTTACTTTTGCTAAATGCATTCTTTCTGCTTTTAGAAATGTAGACCTAAAACCATCTCTTGAGCACACTCACCTTTTTTTTTTTTAACTTTATTCCTCGAGGGAAGTACCATTTTCAGAGAGATCTTTTTTTCTGTGATTTTTTTTCCCCCTCTTTTTCTTTTTACTCTCTTGAAGAGGAGGTCTGTCCCATGCCCAAGGGGCGAGGCTGGGGCCCAGAGGAGGGCGTGCTGCGGCCGGTGCCCGCGGCTGCCAGACACGACCTCCTGTCCAGGCAGATGGAACTGTCACAGGACGCCTTTGGTTCTCTGAACATTCCTTTCTCTTTTTGCTTCAATTCCACGCCTGCCGCCCGCCCCGACTTCCCAGTCGACCCGACCGAGCTGTCCACACGGGAGGGGAGCTGGGCCTCGGGCTGTGACCGCGCACCCCCAAGGGTGCACCCCTGCTCTGCCAGCCGCTGTCATAAAGATGCGAATGGTGGTACGATCTCAACGCGCACTGATTTTACGCTCTGTCTCCCTGCTATGTAAATACCGGTTGAAAGGAGACTTTTTCCCGTGGCAGAGAGGAGTAAACTCTGGACTTTGTGTGCCTGTGTGGACAGTCTCGTCTTGCAGCGTGATGTGATTGGACCATTTTGGTGTAAACATTTGTGTTTTATAAGATTTACCTTGTTTTTATTTTTCTACTTTGAATTGTGTAAATTGGAAAGTGCCCGAATAAATGAGAAGCTTCTATCCTTGATTTGGGCAGGACATTGCTCAGTGGAGGCCACGCAGCCCCGTCCCCTGTGGCTGCCCTGCATGGCCAGGCTCCTCCTCTGCTGTCCCGCGTGTCTGTCCCTGCTGTGTTTTGCCCTCTCCCCTGTGACTGCTCCCGGGCTCCCTCCTCAGCCCGTCTCTTTTCTGTCCTCTGTCTCGCAGCCTCGTCTCCTAAGCCCTTCCCTCCTTCCGGCTCCTCCTCCCTGTCCTGTCTGGGCCCCGACTTGTCTTCCTCTCCCCGGAGCCTCTGGCCAGCCTTGGGGCCCGACAGCAGCTCGCGGGTCTCCTTGCTGCCGCCCTTCCTGAGTGACCAGGCACAGCAGGTACATGCGCTGGGGACTTTCCACCTCTTCTGCCAGGCCACAGGTGAGTCCCTGTGCCCAGTCTGTCTCTCTCCTTCAGAGCTGGGCGGGGGGTAGGGTCTCCTCCGTAGCCACCCGGTCTTCTCTCTGCTTTACCGTGCACAGCTGTCCTGGCTGTGTCCCTGGGTCGAGCCATCTCATGCTTTCATTGTTCCTTGTTCAGTCTCCTGTGGGAGACCGTAAACAGCACGAGCTGCTCCTGGTAGACAGCAGGGCTCAGCCAGCCTTTTAGGTGCAGAGCCCGATGTCAAGTGTTCCGGGCCTTGTGGACCGTGGGCTCTGTCACAGCTGCTCGGCTCTGCTCTTGAGCTGTGAAAGCGGCTGTGGATGGTGTGTGATGAGTGGGCGGGGCCATGTGCCAGTAAAACTTTATTTACAAAAATCGATGGGCCAGATTGGGCCCAGAGGCCCGTTGCCAACCCATGGCATTCAGGATTGCTTCTGTTCCTGCTAGCAATTTGGAGGCTGATGTATGTGGCATTTGGAAATTCTTTAAATATTAACTTCGGGCTGGGTGTGGTGGCTCATGTAGTCCCAGCATTTTGGGAGGCTGAGCCAGGAGGATCACTTGAGCCCAGGAGTTGGAGGCTGCGGAGAGCTGTGATCTGCACTCCAGCCTGGCAACAGAGGGAGACCCTGTCTCTAAAAAGAAAAACACTAACTTCAGAGCTTCCAGAACGGTAGTTGTTTTAATGACTTATTTCATGATGATTAAAAGAAGAAAAGATTGAGAGTCTGGTTAGTCTCCTGGGACACGGGAGGCGTCTGCCCTGGACTGGAAACTATTCAGCTGGGCGTCTGCGCACGAAAGCGGGTGGGACGGCCAACAGCACGCTTTAGGAGCGTCCCAGGCCTCAGGCAGCTCCCGTGGTCTTGGCGTCCGCACGTGGTCACCGTCACGATCAGGAGAGACGGAAAGAAGGGGAGTGCACATTACAGCCTGCCTGCGGAAGGAGGGAAAGCAAAGCCAGTGCCTCTCTTTCTTGAAACTCGTAAACAAACCTGCAGAAGCTCCTAAGAGTCTTGCGCTGTTGCCCATTTCCTGTTAAGCTCCAAGAGCCTCGGGGTGGCCTGTGTCCACTGTGGATCCAGCGCGTCTGGCCAGGGACACAGGCGGCGGATGGGAGGCGCGGCCCCTGACCCCGGAGTGCCTTGGGGCTAGAGCTCAGCCTCCCTGTCGAAGCTGGGTCACTGAGGCCACGCGCGTGCCTGAATGCGGCTCCTCCGCCGCTGCTTACCTCGGGGCAGGCGGGCCGGGGCAGTCCCTCATGCTCCATGGGCCCGAGGCCCGTGGCAGCAGTGTAGTCCCGCACAGGCTCAGGGTGGGCAGGCTGGGGGAGGCTGAGCCCCAGGCCCCTCTGCGCTGCTTCTCACGTGGGCGTTACTTTCTCTCCAGAAGTGTTCCACCCCATCTGGGCCCTTCCCTTCCCATCCCTGTCCCATCGAGGCCACCACCTGGAAGGGCTGTGAGCCCTTCTGGGAAGGACCTGCTTAGAGGAAGGGGCAGCTTAGGCCCTTTCCGAGGTGGGCGCAGCCACGCGGTGGACCCAGAGGAGCCGCGGTTCTGCGTTTCGGCTCTTCGGTTGGGTCAGGGTCTGCGGATGGTGCTTCCTGCGGCGGAAGCCACCGTGTGGCTTAGAAGACCCAGAGACTTTTCTGGGAAAGTGGATGCCCTCTTCTACGTTCTGCCTTGGAGACCGTCCCCGGACAAAGGAGTAGATGAGCCGTTCCAGGTGTAGGCCCAGGCTGGGGACTGCGGTGAGACTCGCTGCAGGCACAGGCGGGGCCCGAGGCTTTTCTCTCTGTAGGGGCCCAGCCTCCCAGGGCAGGGCTGGTCTGGAACCTCGACCTGGGTTTTCTGTTTCCTAGGATGGCTGCCTTCATGGTAGTTATAGTGGTTTGGGGCTGTCTAATTAAAGGCCCAGCAAAGTATTTATAGAATATGAGACTTAAAGAGAGGACGCGCATGGCATCCTTAGTTCCCTGTGCCACGCACAGCTCTGCTGGGTGACCTGTGTCTCGGGGGAGCGTCTCAGCCTCCAGGGAGGGGAGATCGGGGGCTGGGCCTGCCCCTGCGCTTACTTCCTGCCCAGTTCCCCCGGGGCCTGCCTGACCTGGGAGACTTCCCACCTGCCCCGACGTGTCTTAGCCAGGGGTCAGCAGCTGACCTCGTGTGCTCAGCCATTCGGAGAGGTAGAGCCCCTCCGAGGCCAAGGCCCTTCCTCAGAGGGGCTCAGAGTAGGTCCACACGGGGGGGATGCCCCGTGGTGTATGCAGAGGGAGGAGTGGCCAGGGGACAGACTCCAGGGACGAGGGCCTGGCAGCGTGTGTAGTGGAGGCGAGAGGTGGACAGAGCAGAAGCGGACAAGAGGCTGGCAGCAAGCTGCTTCAGATCCCGGCAGGAGGGGAGGCTGGTGACCGTGGGACGTTGCGGAGAGATTGAGGCCCAGCCCAGCCCTGTGCCCAGAGCATGCGCCTCCCAACCCATCCAAGGGAGGGACAGGGGCGTGCCTGTGGGCCTGTGCCAGGAGCCGGGGTGGGAGATGGGCCGCCCGTGCCCCACCGACCCTCGACAGACTTGGTCCCTGCTCTGCCCAGCGCTTGCCTCTGGGAAGTGGAATTGTCACAGTGGGTCCCTCCTCAGGGCGGTGGAGGATGAGATGGGAAGATCACTGATTGCCCTTGGCACGGGTCAACCTTGTCCCTGGGGTGGGGACAGCAAGGTCCTGAGAGAGGAAGTTATGACAGCCTGGGGGTGTCACAGTGGGAACATCCTTTCTGCAGCACCCAGGTGAGACAAGAGGGTGGCAGCCTCAGGTGGCCAGTATGTCCTCTAAGCATGGCACCTGGAAGGGCAAGGCTGGCCATGGACCAGACCCCCATGTCCCCCTGAGCTCAGAGACGTGAGGTCCTCTGGGCCTCCACTGCCGGACGCTGCCCGTGGGAACCACTTGCCAGCTGCTCCGAGTCCTGGGGGACCAAGCACACCGGTGGGACCTGGAGCAGCTCCGCGTGGCCACCTGCCCCGCCGTGTGCACCTGCATGGGAGGGACAGCGGCCTTTGGCACATCCACAGCCGTGGCGCAGCAGTGCCGCGCTGCGCAGGCCCGCGTCGCGTTTGCTGTCTAAGCTTTCTGTCGTTTCACTCGTCAGGTCCTGTTCATCATACGGTATTTCACTGTGCAGTCAGCTGCCACGGACTGGAACGCACCCCACACGGCAGACACAGGCGCCACGCGCCACACACAGACACCGTGCACCCCACACTGCACTCACAGCACACACCCCGCGGCAGGTGATCGGGGGGACCCGCTGGAGGCGGCTGGTGGGGGGGAGGCAGAGGGCCTGGTGCCCAGCGGCCCCTCTCCCAGGCCCTCTCTGGCTGTGGCCCCATCCCCTGGCCCTGCAGGAGTGTCCGCTTCCTGTCGCATCTGCAGCACACGGCACCACGGATGGCCTGCTGGGACCCAGCCCCACCCGCCCCTTGGCCGGGCAGGTTTGCAGTCTGCACCCAGCAAGCCGTCCTTTCCTCATGGCACCTGCCGTCGAGGGAGAAAGCGAACAAGAGCTGTCCCTTCTTCCTGTGGCCCTGGCCCCTGCAAGGGTCCTGGGTCCGGTCCCATGGAGGCCCCTCCTGCCATGGCATGCTGTGACCAAGGCCGCCTCAGAGCAGTCCAAACTAAGGCACACGTTGCCTTTTTTTCCTTCCAAACCCGTCCCGGGAGCCGATGCTGGGCACAGAGTCGCCGTTCAACTGCGTTCGCGGTCAGACGGCAGCATGTCTGGCCCAGCCCTGCCCCTGGGTCCCCGAAGGTGATGGAACTAAAAACTGAGTTTATTTTCCATGGCACAGAAGTGTCGGTTTTCTGCCTCTCTGGCTGCAAGCGTCTCCAGGTCACTCCTCTGCCAAGTCCCCGAGAGGTCGCAGGCCTGTGACACAGCAGGGCGGGATTACTAAACCATCTCACAGGGGACGCTGTTACGGATAAAACACTCCGGCAGTTTCACACACCCATCGATGGCCAGGGCTGCCCTCGGCCACAGTGCCTCCACGGCCCCCGTTTGCTGTCGCCTCCTGACTTTCCCTGTGGGACCGTGTGGGACCTGGTCTGGACGCTCACTGCACAGTGGACTCCGCGGCGGGCCTGAGCGCGGGAGGGGGTGTTCTGGAATCTGGACTGATTCCGCACGCCGCTTGCTGCCTGTCGTTTGAAAGGCGACCATTCGCGTTACGGGGAGTTAGGGAAACACAGATGGTCCCCTCGTCACAGTGCTGTGAAAGCCACGTGCGTCCAGTCGAAACCGCCCTGCAGCCATTCTCCTCTTCACTTTCGGTGCAGCACTTGGTCAATTACCTAAGACACGCAGCACTTTCTTGCAAAAGTGGCTGTGTGTCAGTCGATGTCGCCCAGCCGTAGGCTAGTGTGAGTGTCCTGAGACCGTGTAGGGTAGGTTGGGTAAGCTGCGAGGTTCGGTAGGTGTATTAAATGCATTTCGACTTAGGATATTTTCAGTTGCACAGTGGGCTTATTGGGGTGTGACCCCATCATTAAGTCGGGGCACATTCACACTGACAAGGACAAAGGAGTCCGGAGCAGGAGAAATGGAGTTAGCATGTGGT